GTGGGAAGCTTTCAGGGCCAGCAAGCTGGAGCAGTCAGTCCACGTGCCCCTTCCCAGCCCCCGTTCCTCTTGCTGTTGTCCCGCCTCTGCCTTTTGCTTGGGATCTTACTCGAAGGCAGCTCTTGCCCCGGCTGGGTCAGCTCACCCACCTGGAGCAGCCCCCCCCCAGCCGATGAGCTCCGTCGTGATTCCGTGCCTACCTGTCTTGTGGCAGAGAAGGTGCCATCTGCACGAGGCCGGTACGCCGGGTGATGTTGTATTTCGACAACAGGCGTCTCTTCCGCGGGGTTATTCTTAACCCTGTCCCTTGACTAGCATGCCGTCCCGGTCTTGCTGCTGTAACAGCTACGCCCGTGTCCGCCACAAAGGTCTGCGGAGGAGCAGCCGCTGAACCGGCAGGCGTTTCGCTCCTTTGGCACCGTCCTGCGGAGAGGCCGAGTGGGATGCGAAGCGTCCCCGGGCTGCTGGGGGACCGCAGGCTCCCCGTGCAGAGATCGTCACAGGCGCCGGGTTGTGCTCCGCGCCTGGCGAGACTGACAGCCTGAAGGAAGAGTTTTGAAAGCTGAGCTCAGAGGAGGGGGCCCTGAGGCACGGCACAGCCCGTCAGCTGAGGCTGGATAGAAAATGCTGCAATCCATTAGGATGAAGTGGAAGTTCAATTGCACATCTGTTGGTTAGTTTTTCTGTATAGATGCTTCCCGTTGGGAAAACCTCCAAATACAAATGCCACTATTTCACTGCAGCCACCTCCCAAAAGAAATGAGAACTATTCTTTTTCCCTAGAGGTAATTTGTGGGGCACTTCTACAGAGAAGCATGACTGAAATCCTGCCTGGCCCTGCCCTTACTCGGTACCCAGGCATCAAGCAGACGACCCTGCCGCCACAGGGGTGGGGTCACTAATGGTGGGGATTAAAATAAATTTCTCATTTGTGTGTAACAGTCTGCTCTCTGGGCACGTGTATGAACACAAATGATAAAGAAGCCTGAGAAATACTCTCCCCATCCTCCGATTTCCAACCAGTAACGGCTAAAAGAAGTGTCTTCCTCATCCAAGTTTTCAAGAGCTTACTCAGACTACTCAGGATTACAACTACAAAATATGAAGAGCACTTCAAGTCCATGATAGCACAAAAGATCTTTCTACAGCTAACGCAATCAATAATGTATATACACGCCGTCTTCAGCAACCTCTTTTCAGTGTGTTCCCTTTGAACCTCGCAAACGCTCCCTACCTAAAAATCAATCCGTGTCCAAGAACCAGGCGGTGGCTGTGCTTCCGCTGTGTGCGTGCACGGAGCACGTACCTTCTTGGTAAGTAAAACATTCCACGGTTCTGCATCATAGATCTTTTCCCTTACTGCTTTTCACGTTGATTCTGATCAGAAATTGCGGGTATCCTTTTGTGATCTCCAGTGGGCAACTGCTGGAGCGAGGTCTTTTTCTCTCTGCGCACGTAGGACCCTGTCTTGTTTTGCTAAGTGACTCCTGTCATCTTTCAACAGAAGTAAAAACCTTTTTCATCCCATTTACTCTTTCTAATTCTTGCTGGCACTGCAATGGGAGCCTTTCAATAGCATCATTTCACCGATTGCCACCTACGTGGAAGTTACCATGTCAAATAAAGCCGTGCAATGCCCTCTTGTGAACAAGGTTTGCTGATTGGTAAATGCTGCCTGCAAAATAGCACGCCATACAAAGGAAAATCATTATTAGGAGAGCGTCATTTAAAATGCTCTAATA